ATAATGAATAAGAAATCCTTTATTGATAAGATGAGTTTCCCCAAGATTGATGTGTGGCTATCCTGATCCAAAAGTTAATAAGAGTTGATAAAGAAAATAGTACTAAGTTGCAACACAAACCTTAGGTGAACACGTAGGTCATAACTATTTAATTAATGTCTATTCCTAGAATTAGTATATAAATATTAACTAAATAATTATTTTCAAAACCACTTAGCATGTGAAATTCAATTTGATTATCATTTGTTCCTCAAAATGAGAACATTCAAATGATATATTCTTCAAAAGTAAGCTAACACTAAACTTAATTTATAATTACTCATGCAACCTAAAAATAACATATTAAAGTAACATGAAGTAATTAAGAGAGGAAAAAAGATTTATAAATAAGCTCACAAATTATAACTGAAAAAAATCCACATTAATAATAAAAAAAACATATAAAAGAGTTTCAAAACCTAAAACTAGGAAATCAAAAAACTTCCATATGAAAGATTAAAAATTCTAATTACAACTAATTAAGGTTAAAGCATGGGACTCCTAGCCACGTGACAACATTTCTCCTCACAAACAAAGAGATTAGCCACTCATGTGGCTAGAACACATCATATTGATAAAGAAAGAAAACAAGAATATAAAGATGAAAATAGAAAGCATTTGACACCTTGGTGGATGCTTGTGGAAGTATAGAGAGTGAGTAAAGAGGACGTGTCTTGCTCCTTGCCCTTGGACCTCCTTTTATAGCCTTGGCTGACCCTATCCATGCCTCCTTATGGGATAAAGATTCAATATATCCTTATGATCTTTACTTTATCTTATAGTCTTGATCTTTGAATGATTTAGCCTCCTCATACCTTCCTTGATTTCCCTATAATTGTCTTTATACAATTCAAATAAACCCTAGGATAATCTATTTAAATATTATATATTTTGAATAAATTATCCTATACAAATAATCAAAGATAACCACCTAGGAAATTATTATTAAATGGAGTCATATATAAAATATGGATGGAGAAAAAAATGGAGAGAATGGCGTGCTCAATAGGGATGATAGGATAAGATATAATAGTAATGATAGTAATTGAAGAATGTCAAAAGTATTAGGTGGAAGATGATTTTTTATCTCTTGACTTGGTTTGGAAAATAAGCCATCAAATTAATATTTGAATTAAGATAAAAGATGACTTAAGTTGACTTGAATTAAAGTTTAGGATAATGAGAAGCTTAGTTGGCATAATGTGAGTGGAAGTAAGAAGGATTTAGGATAATTCAAATAATTAAAAAGGAAGACTTGCAGAGAAAGTAAGGGGATTTAATAGGAGTTTTGACTTATTCAAATATAGATTTGGGATGAAAACTAATTTAAAGAAAATATTTTAGGATATTCTCTAACTAGATATCTCTAATTAGATATTAACAATTCCTCCTTTAATTAATTTTACAATTCTAAAATTACCCTTCATTAATGAGGTGACACTTTCTTTGACTTGATAAGAAAGAAAATATTGTGAAATCACCTTCCTACCCTTCATTAATGGTGAGCCATGTTTTTGAACAATAAAACCATGAAAGAGATGCTATTTTGGCTTAAGTGGAGGTGTTAGGGCCCATTTGAAAGGTATAAGTGGTAAGTTAATATGTATGGGCCTAACTATATTGTAAACTGTCTCAAATGCATTCTTAAGGTCCTAAAATCCATTGGCTCTTCAACACTTATGTTTTTTTCCAATCTGTTTGGGCTCTAAAGCCCACCTTCCTTGATCCATTATCGTCTTGCAATGGTGTCTTGAGTTTATTTAGATTAAAAGTTCCTAATTATTCTAAAACACATAAAAAAGTAGAAATACCTTTGTGTAGATTATTTTAACTAAGAAAACATAACAATTAGACCCATTTTGGTATTTATTTATATAATTCCTTGTTAGCTCAAATTATTGACAACTATTGCAATTAACCCTTAAATTAATAAAATAGGGATACGTCACCCGTTTAGGCCCAATAATTGTGAGGGCTAGATTTGAAACTTTTCCCTTCAAATGGAAAACAGGATTAAAAGGGCTGACCCCGTAAGATCCCAAATTTAGTTATTTTTTTTCTCAGTGATAAAAAAAGGAGAATTAATTATTGATTATTTCAAAATTATCATTAAGAAAAAGGTTGATTTAAAGATTTGAATCAAATTAAGAAAGTAACTATGAATAGTCATTTTATATGTGTATATAAAAAAAATTTGCAGGGGAAGGATAAAATATAAAAAAATTATATATGCCCCCTCATAAAATAGATGCATGGAGGTTTAAAAAATATATATTTATATAAATAGTAGTAATAATGGAAGTAGAAATAATAGAGAAATAATAATGATGATAATAATAATAATGAAAATGAAATAATATATATATCCCAAAAGAAAAGGAAATAATAAAAATATAAAAAAAGAGAACAGAGAGAGAGAAACCATACGTCAGTCTTTTTTACATACCCTCATCTCTTTTACACCTCATTTACTTTGCCGCAACACAAAGCCAACTCCTGATAAGGTACTTTCCCTTTTCTTTCCTCTTTTTTTCCCTTTATATTCCTCCCCTCATTCTTTGTCTTTTTCCCACCTTGTGTTAGGCTATTAGCATCATTCCTACTTTCCCTTATTTGTTCACTATAGCCTTGTCTTTCTTTGTCCTTTTCTTCAATCGACAATCACCGGTGTCCTCCAGGTACATATCATATCTATATATTTAGATATGAGTTCTCTCTCTTCCATGCATATACATCCCTTTAGCTACTCTTTTGTTCTATAAAAGTTTTTTTTTTCATGAGTAGAGATATTTGGCAACACCTACAGTACACATCTTATCATACAATTATACACTTTATTGTTTGGTTTGGTCAAAAGGCTAGGCATACAATTATAATATGTTACCAATGTATATGTCCAAACATGAACAAATAAAATAACCTACTAATAGCAATAGGAGATGCTTTTGAAAAAAAAAAATTGAGGACACATAAGTGTTAGGAATAAGTGAACTCCTTCATTTTTTAGTTGAGTTTTTCCTTAAATTTTATATATATATTCTCATTATAAGTTAAAATAAATAAATAATAGGAAAATGTGTAAACCAAATATTTGTATGTAATTTATGGGTAGAATGAACTAGTTAAGTTATAAATAGGTATGAATTTAAAAGGCCTCTTGATAGCTTTAGAGTAATATTTGAATTTAATAATATGCATGTGATTTGTGATCTTGAAAATTTAAGAAGTCTTAATTATGGGTAGGGGGAGTAGATTTAAAACTTAGACAACTTTGAGGAAAAATCTTAGAGTAGCTTTAAGATAAACTTTAATAGCTTAAATTATAATTTGACTTGGTATTTGTGTAATTATTGTAGACTCTCACTAAGAGTCTTATTGCTTGGAATTTTCATTTCACTACTGAAGAGCAAAAAGAGTTAGGTAACTTGGGGTTTTTTTATGTGCGTGCAATCTTTTTCTATCATGATTAAATTTGTATTGACTCTATCGGCTTAATTGGTACAAATAAATAAGACTGAAAAGGTGAACGGATATGATAGCATTATCTTCTATGTTATTTGAATTCTCTTGCAAGCATGAATGTGTTTTGGTTGTTTTGTGAAAATTTAAGGTAATTTGTTTTTTTTTTCAAGCATGCTTGCATATGCTAGATTTGTTACATATTCATGATATGCATAGGCGGTTGGACTTGGGAGTTTATGATATTGATATATGTGATAAACTGTGATCACGTGGTTTGCCTCCACTTAGCTCAAAGTGGTTGGCCTTTTTAGGGCCCTGTTCCTTAATACTTACCTGGCTAGATTTGTGGAGTGGAACGTGGGACAGTGACACCTCCTGGTTTTTTTGTTCTTTAAGGAGGGAAGCTATAGTCTAGGCTTTAGCTCTATATCTTTAGCCAGATACATCCTAAGTACTGGAGTAACTTTGGTTAGTCTAGTATGTAGGCTAAACCGTGTATAAGTCTATGGTTCCTGTCAGCAAAATAAGGTTGGATGGAGTAATAAAAGAGGAAGCATTTATTACATATGAACTTGGTATGTTATTAAATTAGCTATATCTTTTGCTAATAATCATTTAAGCTGTTGTAATACTTGTTTACATAGCTAATATGAAAATGTTTGTGTGATGGTTGTATCTGTGTGATTGAACTCTGAGTTAGCGAGATGTTAGTGCTCACCCTAATTATTTAACATTTTTCCAGGTGACAAGTCTCATGGGGAGGCAAGGGAAGGTACCAGAGGAGTAAGCTAGTTGCCCTTATACTTCTCAAGTACATGCTAAATTAATTTGATTATTTACTATTTGCTATGACCCTAGGACACTAAATCATTATTTTGTTAATTCCTTGAATTGATGGATTTTAGCATTTTATTTCAGGTTTTCTTTTATTTATGTTAAGTTAGACTTTGAGATTGCTGACTTGGATTTTTATGCTTGAATTATATTATGGGTTTGATTGCTCATGTTTATTTGATATTGTGGCTAAAAGGTTGAGTTCTTAAGTATTATCTTCATTATTATGAGACCCTAAAATCAAACTAGTTTTATATGGTGTTTTGAGCAGCTTAAAGGGTAGGTGTTATATTTTTGGTATGAGAGCCACAACATTCTGCGACTTTTTCTATTTTTCTTTTCATTGTTTATATTTTTTCCCACTAAAATCTAGTTAAGAGGTCATGGCAAGTATATCTTAGCATGTGCCCTTCCTTTCTTCATATGTATCCAATTACTTTAGTTGTTCTTTTCTTTTAGCTAACTTTAACTTGTGTGGTGGCCTTACATAGGAGGGGAGAAGAATACTGAATACTTGACAAACTACATGACAAACTAACATAAACCTACATTCCCTACCTCTCCAAAATCATTCTCAGGGCATTGATGCCATCTTGAGGGACTTAAGAGACACAGTCCAAAACATAAGACAAATATTAAACAAGCATCAAGAACAACTAGTTACAATGAAAGAACGGAGTAATAGCCCTGTCAAGGAAAAAAGCCCTCTTATCGATGAACCCAGCGATCACCATTCTGCGAAGGGCTCTAAGCATGACTCTAGCAGCAATACTAGCAAGTCTGCCAACCCAACCTTATTAAAATCACCTAAATTTGAGAGCATTTTTGAAAGTTTAACCTATCAGTATTTGAGGAAAGACTCAACCCAACTAAAGCAGAGGATGGGTGAAGTGAGTAGAAAAGATCTTCAGGATTGTCCAATACACCTCCCATCAAAAGGTGCATGTAGCCGAGCAGTTGTTGCAGAAGGCAACCCAGTAGTGGGGTGATAGTATAAGAACTTAGACAATTATTTATTTAAAATCTGACGGATATATATAGATACATATATATATATATCAATTTTAAAATAATAAGAATTTTTGCTAGTGATGTATTTGTATTGAAATGTGCTATTTAAATTAAAAGCAGTTGTAAAAGAAATGCTAATAAAAACACCATAAAACTACAGGAATAAATATGGAAGCGACAAAAAAAAGTCTGGAGCACTAAAATATAATGTTAAATATCAATAAATCACAAATATATCAAATATCATTAATAAGTTCGCCATAGATAGGGAAGCTAAAGGTGTATATCATGATGGTGGCGACTCAACATTAATACCCATGGATATTAATCTACACAACCTTCTATGGAATTAATTTAAATGAAGGTGCATTCATTATTTCATGTGGTTTCAATTTAGAAGTATGATTTTTGAAGACTATTTAATGTAAGGTTGAGCGAAATATGCATGTAAGGATCTTATATGTGCATAAGCATGGGAGAAATGTACAAGAAGTGGTGCAATATGCAACTAGGCATCCGTAATATGTAATTAGAATGTGCCATATGCAACATTAGATTAACAATATACAATTAGGATTTGTGATATGTAATAAGGTACCATACGCAACTAGGCATCTGCATATGTAACTGGAATCACTAATATGCAACTTTGGATCCATGATAGGTAATTGGGATTTGTGATATGTAATAAGATGGTATATGCAACTAAGAATTTACAATATGTAACTAGAATTAGCAATATGCAAGTTTGAATCAATGATATATAATTGGAATCTCATATGCAACTAGGCATCTGCAATATACAATTAGAATAATTATATGCAACTTTGGATCAACAATATATAATTAGAGTAATTTAGTTGTGGAAAAATTGTAATAAGATCCAACCCAAGAGAATTAAATACGAAAAGGTCCCTTAAAATTATTAAATTATTTTGAAATCCTAAGGGATCTCATTGTAAGAGTTTTTATTTGTTTAATTACCAAATTGCACTTATTTTTTTTAAAATATGTATTGATAATTGGAAGAGCGGTCATTCACAACTTAAGATATAACGATTAACAATTACCGCAGCAGGTATTAACAACACATTTTCTCATTGCATCATAAAAATATACTACATGAGTTGTCAATTTGTGTCATAATAATTGTTAATCGTTACACTTTAAGTTATTAACGATTGCATTTTCAGTTGTCAATGCATACTTTAAAAAGAAATAAGGGCAATTTGCTAATTAAACAAATAGAATCTCTTGCAATGGGGTTCCTTAGAACTTTAGATTATGATTTCAAGGGACTTTTTTATATTTAATTTTCTTAGGTGGAACTTTATTACAATTTTCCCTTTAGTATTTCACCCACTACAATTAATTACACTCAAGGACCTAAATGTTTCAGGTTAATGTCCAATTAATTTTTCAAACAGGTACTCATCCCCAACTTCTATTTTTCATGACAAAACATTTCTATTTTCTATTTAAAGTTTACAATCGTGATTGTACTATATATATTTAGCTAAAAGTATCGCAAATTCATCACAATATTACCAACAGAACTCTTAATTTGATTAAAAAAGTTAAATAACTGATTTTTTTTGCCAACTAAATAACTAAGTTTATATATTTTATTTATTTAAATTACTAATTTAATGACTAATAAATTAATAAAAATTTAATATTGATTAGTTAACTGTTGTTATTAATAAATTAATAAAATCAATAAAAAAATTTCAAAATCTAACCTATGAATATGTTCTCTTCCACAGTAAATCTCGAGTTTCAAATTTAAACATGAAATTTATTTCGGTATTAATTATAAAGATTCACAATCGAAGATGATTTTTATTGAAAATTTGAAATTTCACCGTTGGAAAAAAGTATCCGTTGCATTTGAGGTTTTAACTTGATGGCAAAGCAACTCTTCACCTCGAAACAGAAGGGTTAACCGACAAAGAGAACATTGATAGAGTGAAGTAAGAAGCCGCAATCGATGAAGAAGCGATGGACTTCGAGCCAGTGGACGGAGATTTGATCGATGAAGATGGCTAGGTCAACATTAATGGCTCTGCATTTCTTCATGCTTCTCCTCTGCTACAGGTGATGCTTCTCCATCTTCTCCTCCTCCTCTTTCTTCTTCTTCTTCTTCTTCTTCTTCTTCTTCTTCTTCTTCTTCTTCTTCTTCTTCTTCTTCTTCTTCTTCTTCAAATTGCGAAAGAGGAACCAAAAATCCCCACTTTTCCTTTTTCTTTTGTTGGACGAAACTTACTTTACAAATTATTGGATGCTTGCCTGTGGGATGTTCTTTGAAGGAACTATCCAAAGTGAACAGCAACGGCAAAACAACGTGTGGTTAACTGGACTGAGCACGGTTGACGACAATACCAAAGTTGGCATATTCAAATCTCCGAACCCAAAGATACACGTTTTGCGCATTTGGTGCCTTCTTTACCACTTTTTTCTCTGTTTGTGACACATTCCTTCTTCTCTATGAAATCAATGAAGCCATTTTTATTTACCATTCATCTCCCATCCCTCGCTACAATGCTCATTGTGTTTTATATAGGAGCATCCCAATATTGTTCTTTGGAGCAAGGAGAAGAGAGAGACACAGAACTCTCGTAAGAAGCGTGGGATGACATTGGTTTGTTTTTGTAATGATTATTTCCTTCCATTTGGTCTTCTTCACTCTGTTCTATCTATTTTATTAACTGGATTTCACAACTATACCCGCTAACATTAAAACATAAGTAAATAATCCGAGGTGTACACTTTAGATTTTAACATATCTTTTTCCAAGGTCTGGCCTTTAGCTGTTGGAGAGGCTTTGATGCAAATTCGTTATTATGTTCGTGCTTTTCTACGAAAAGTAAAGCAGGCCACCAATATTTTCTGCTGAGGTAAGAAAAATGTTTGACTTTATTTTTTGGTTTTTTGTTTTCAAAATTTTCCTTGCTGTGAATAGATTTCTTAATGTTATCTGGTAGAACTTGATGATGTTTTTTTTTCCAGTTAGTTTGGTTTTATACATGCTTCACGAGCAGTGAAAGTATTGTTATATCCATCTTGAGAGACTTTTTATTTTCTCCTTAGATTTTAGATACCATCCAACTCAGTGTTCTCTTTAATAGCTCAGAAAAGTCCTATACTCTTGCTGCCTTTTTTGCTGAGTATCGTCTAGGTCAGGAATTGAGGGCCATAGCTTGTTTCACATATCTGTTCAATGAATAATTATACTTTGTTTGACATTTTTGCTTGACTTTAATTGAATGTCAAATCATTGTTTTTTGCTTAAGAAGTAGCTGGATTACTCTGATGGAACTAATAGTTTTGCTCGTTAATGTCAAGCTAGTCAGCTACAATCTCTTCTGGAGGGAATGGGAGAGGAAAATTGATAGAATAAAGCTACTAGGAAAAGTTCCAATGATCACAATAAAAGAAAGCGCCAAAAACAAAGTACAACAAATAGTTCTTCCTAACATTCGAGAGGTTAAGAGCTCTCCACAACCTCCATTATTCTGCCCGCCTCTCCACTAAGGCACACAACCCTAGACAACTATCTAACCACTACCCTGGCCATTAGTGGGCCCTTTCTCAAGTCTGCCTCACATCTTGTGGTCCCCTCTCCTGTTCTGCATCTTCCTCATGTTTTTGGGCTTGTCTTTCGGCTGCCTTCTTTTATATGTTCGGCCCAATGATGTGCTGAGTCCATTGTATAATAAATATTAGGCTTGATAACTCTGATACGTAGAGAAGGAGCCTTCACTTAGTTATGCAATTTTGAGTCTAATCATCCCTGGTTTAGTAGACTAGATAAATACAAATGAACTTAACCCGTGAAAAATAAGCTTTCTAGGGTTACATATATAATTGTATGTGTACTCAAACATTTTTGTACATTTAAGGGTTACATATATAATGGTATGTGTACTCAAACATTTTTGTACATTTAAGTGAACCTTGTAAATTTATCATTCATTTGATTTTGGAAACCTCTCCTAACACATACACATTTATAACAGGGACTCTATTCTCCCCTTCGGGCATATGACTAAGCATGTAAAGGTGCTTTTAGGTGCCTGTTGTACAAAACTTGACCTACATCCCTCCCATTAGCTCATGAACATTCTTTCCCTTTGATAATGTTGCTTTAATGGATCTCGTGACGTATTGCAAACAAAGGCTTGCTACGTGTGTGTAACAAAACATGTGACATAGAACATTGATGCATGTTGGTGTTGAACTTGAGTCTACTCTTCATATTAACTATTAAAACTTGTATGCTATGACAAATTAAAAGAGAAATATCCATCATGAAAATCATTAAGCATCCCCATATAATCAGGTTGCAATAGGTATGTGTTTGTTAGGCTGTTGGCGCATGGTTATATATACACAAGTCTATGCCTTTTCTCCGTTCTCATTTTTCTTCTTAATTTTCTTCTTTTTTCAAGATTGCCTTTCATTTACATTTTTTTTAACTTTAGGTTTTAGCTAGCCAAACTAGGATTGTAAGAATATTTTTTCACGTCTTATGCCGTAGATTATTCTAGGTTGATTTTTCTTTGATTATAATCAAATCTGACCATTTTAAGTTAGTAACATTGAAATGATAACTTTCTGATTGTGATAAAGATTATATGTATTCATGGTTTATGCGCGCACACACATTCATTTTTCATGTTTTTATACCTTTTCTGGATGTTTAGGTGCAGTAGGGGAAGCTTTCAGAAAATGGATCCAGCCACTACTTTCAACAACTAATTGATGCTTCTACTCATTGTCACAGTAAGTCTAAATTTAAGAATTTGTTCATTTAACTTGTTTGACTTGGTTTGACACACCAACTAGCATTTTATTAGTGTTAAGCAAAAAGAAACTA